GGGGATATACATTGATTTAAGGTTGGATTCCGGTCAAGGAATTAGATTGAATGGTTTCAGAAAAGTCTTCTTTATTTTCATTCAGCATTGCCTTTGTCCACTGATTCTAGGACTAGTGAGCTGTGTGTTTCAGCAAAGGCAGGTCACGTGTCACTGCTGGCCCTGGAGGCACAATGCTGTGGACGGTGCACATCGGGAGGTCTCTCCACGCGCCTTCCCTAGGAAAGTCAGAACACTGCTGTGTTGCAGGCCTAAGAAACAACTAGCTTTCATGGTTAGAAAGGACCTATCCTTTTTCACCTCTAAATCAGGGTGTCGGCCATCTGGGTCATTTTTTGAAAACGTGACTGTATTTATTCTCTCTTCTAAATAGCTCCATTAGAGCTGATTTAAGACATCGATCTCATCTCCAAGCATTGCCCTACTTCAGAGCCACTCAGCATTGTCAGTGCTCTACCCAGGCTGCCCCAAAAGTAGGTGGCCTAGAATAAAGAAGAGAAAGTAAGAGGGAAAACAAAGGAGCTCTCTTCTCTCTGGCCAGAGCCAGGCGACCAGAGAACCCCTCTTGTGGTTGTTGAGCATTGCCCACTAAGGGGGTGCTGGGCTCCTAAGACCACCTTGGAAGCTCGCTAATCTCTCATTTGTCCTCCTACCCCTCACCTACTATTCCATCTGAACCTCTGAAAGAACTCTCCCATAGCCGAGGAAGAAGCCAAAGCAGAAAATAGGGCAATGGGGAGAGGATGTGGCCCTGGCTGTGGGGAATCTATGGGTCCTGAGTGCATCTGTGCGATACCTGTGGGTGATGTGGTCTGTAGCTCCATTCACTTGAGGTTATTAACGATTTTGAAAGTCACCATGTGTATGGCACAGAGGACAAGACATTCAAACTAAAAACAAGGGCCCAAGGACATCTCCAAGGCTCACGGGTTTGTTGACTCATCAGAGCTGTGGGGCCTGGAAGACTATTTTCTGTCCATTAAGTGGTCACAAAATTTAGGGAGTATGAGGAAGCAGCCAGGAGAGATTTCATTTCAAGGAGCCAACCAGCCCTGCCTCCCACTCACCCTTCTCCCGGGCTCCGGAGGCAGCTCTATAAGGGTGAACTGGTGAGCATGCCATTGTCTCCTGGAACTGCCTGTTCCCAGCGGTCTTGTTCTGAGGGAGCTGAGATCTGGGATCCAGGAGGAGCAAGGGAACTTCTTCAGAACAGAGTCCTTGATCCCCTACCCCCACTTGGGGAAGCGCTGCCCTAGGGTTAGCACAGAACAAGCTGGTTGGTCAGTCACACGGTCAGAACAGCCGTGAGATTGTACGCAGTGTGCTGTGTGTATGTGCCTTTTCTCTGGTGAGAGTCCACAGTTCTCTTCAGCCTTCTCTGACCTCCCCACCCTCCCAAAAGAGAAAAGATGCACTAAATTAAGAACGAAGAAAGGACCTCTCTGACCTTCATCGGCAGGACTTAATCTGAGAGAGGAAAGGTGGGACACTCAAGGCTTCACCTGACCTTGCATCGGTGTCCATAGACACCTCCTCACAGATGCCCCCTCCCATCTCAGGCTGCTTCTAACCCGGTGGCTCTCACTGTGGCCCAGAACACATGTGTTACACATGGTAGGCACTCGGTACATACTTGTTGAACAAATAGGGACTCTTACCAAGACTGCTACCAAGAATAATAGAAGGATGATGTCACCATGCCCATAATAAAATGTGACATACAGACGCTGGTATCACATGACCATCACTGCCATCATTACGTGGCCTGTGGTCCACCAGCTCACTGTGGCTCCCACGCTTTTCTCCTTCCTAATCTCCTTCCACCAACCCCACCACTGCTTGAACTAGTGCAGTTTTGTTTTCCTCCTGCCAGTGAAGATGTTACTGGACTTCCTTCTGCTGGCTTGGTTTCCTATCAGCCTTGGTGCAGAAAGTCACCTTCTGGTTAAAGGAGGCTCCCGGCTCCCTGCAATGGGGCAGCTCTGACTCACGGGGACCTCTCGCCCTGCCTCCTCACTGCTGCTGTTGTGTTGCACATTTTATGGCTCAGCCACTGGGAAAAGCCTCCATCCCAGAACCAGGATGGCTGTCCAGTTGTAGGCTCTATTTTTAACAACCGCTAAGTTCCTAGGAAAGCCCCATTCCCACCACAGGATGATATGCCCTCCAGGCTCCCTCCTACTCCTACTTCCCTTGCCCAGCCTGGCTCTGCTTGTTCTCATGCCTCACAAGCCACTCTTGCTTTTTGGGCTCCAATAACCCTGCATGTTTACCTGTACAACGGCATTCACCACCTTGCATTGTGGTTGCCTTTTATTGATCTGTTCCCCCTTCAAGCCCAGGCTTCCTGACAGCACAGTGCCTGGCACATATCAAGCTCATTCATTCACTCAACAAATCTTTACTGAGCACCTGCTGCCTGCAAGGCATTGTTTTAGGCCAGTGGTCGGCAAACCGCGGCTCGCGAGCCACATGCGGCTCTTTGGCCCCTTGAGTGTGGCTCTTCCACAAAATACCACGTGCAGGCGCACACGTACAGTGCGATTGAAACTTCGTGGCCCATGCGCAGAAGTCGGTTTTCGGCCTGGGCGAGTCTATTTTGAAGAAGTGGCGTTAGAAGAAGTGGGGGGTGTCGGTCGGTCGGGCGACAGGAGACGCGGCGCAGGGGAGGTATATTGTTTTGAGGTACATTTGCTGAGGTCAACCCCTTCCAACTCTTCCATCCACACTCGTCTATCTGAAACAAGTATACAAGACGAGTGTGGATGGGAGAGTTGGAAGGGGTTGTACTCAGCGAACGTACCTCAATCAGATTGAGGACGTTTTTAGCAAAGGCCAGCTTAGGAGTACCCTAATTAAGTTAATAACAAGGTACCTACCTATATAGTTTAAGTTTAAAAAATTTGGCTCTCCAAAGAAATTTCAATCGTTGTACTGTTGATATGTGGCTCTGTTGACTAATGAGTTAGCCGACCACTGGTCTAGGCTCTTGGGATACAGCAGTGAATAAAACAGGCCCAAACTGCCTGTCTTCGCGGAGCTTACATTCCAGCATGGAAGACAAGCACATAATAACTGCGTAAATTATAAGTTAGAAAGTGATAAGCACTATGTGAAAAACAGCAGGGTGTGTGGAGGTGTGAATGATCAATTAACTCATATTAAGTTGAGTTAAATTTGGCATGGTTCAGTGACATTGTTGAAAATTCTTCTTTTCCTCCCTGACCCAGTTTAACAAATGACCCCCACACCCTTGACATAATTTTTATACTTTGCACCATGATTACATTTGATAGATTTCTCTAACCAAAGTATGGTAACCCCAGATAAATATTAATAGATTTGCAAAGAATATATTGGTAGGTAACACTTTTACCAGTCAGATTAGGTAGGTCACTTGTCAATCTTTTTATTCACAGCAAGCAGAGAACATATTTGTCCAGCATACATACTCTGGGCCCCTGAGGGCAGCACTGTCCCAGCACACCTGGAGCTCATTTCAGGCACCTGGAGGTGGTCAGCGAACTTCAGCCTGCTTTAGGATCACCTGGGTGATTAATATGGGCTCACTGAATTCTCTAAATTCTCTAAACCAGTGGTTCTCAACCTTCTGGCCCTTTAAATACAGTTCCTCATGTTGTGACCCAACCATAAAATTATTTTCATTGCTACTTCTTAACTGTAATGTTGCTACTGTTATGAATTGTAATGTAAATATCTGACATGCAGGATGGTCGGGACCCACAGGTTGAGAACCGCTGCTCTAAATGCTGGGCCCAGCTCAGGTCCAGGTGGCAGGCCCCATTGGGAAGGTCTCCTTCCCCCACATCCTGGAAGGTTGCAGGTCTCTGGCTCTAGCAGTAAGAGCTGAGGCACATCCAACACCAGGCTCGGATGCAGTGGAAGATTTAATGTCACGTAAACCCAACTGAGTTAAAATCATTCCTTGCTGAAGGAATTATTTTTTGAGGCAACCCACCTTCTTAGACAAGTGGATAGAAAACATTGGGGCAATTTTTTTGTTCCAGAAAATAAAATAACAGAGAGAACCAGACAAGATCTCTCTTAAGGCAGAGCCTGCAGAAGTCCCTGACAGTTCAGGTCAAGGCCATAAGTATTCTGAATATCGGTGATGCAGGGGTAGCCATGGGCCGTGACCCACATAGACAGACACCAAGGTCAGCCCCAGTCGTCTCCTCCAGTTTCTCTCCACTGCCTCTCTACCTGCCTCCTCGCTTTGACTCAGTTCTGCTTTCCCTCTTTCCTAACTTTCCTTCATCTTTCCAGATGCAGGACGCTATGGGCTATGAGTTACCCTGGGTGTATTTTGTCAGTCTGGTCATCTTTGGATCCTTTTTCGTTCTAAATCTGGTTCTCGGTGTGTTGAGCGGGTAAGCTGACCATTTCTATGTCCTCCTTACAATGCAGCCGAGCAAGGTCCCAGGTTCCACTCTGTCCATCGCCAGGATCCTCAGGGATGGGACCCTAAGAGGCCCAGGAAAACCAGGGGAAAACCCCAAATTCTGACCCATTGGCGGGCAGGCTGTTTGGCCTCTGATTTTCACCTAGAGGACCGGGGTCCTGGCGCTGCATGGGTCGGTGTCTGGAGCCAATGATGGGTGCTGGGCCATGCTCGACTGCTGTGTGCACCTCACTAACTATCATTCCGTTCTTCCAGGTCAATGATGCCGTAGGAAGGGACTGGCCCTGGATCTATTTTGTTACACTAATCATCATAGGGTCATTTTTTGTACTTAACTTGGTTCTCGGTGTCCTTAGCGGGTAAGCAGGACCAAGGAAAAAGGTCTTGATTTTTCCATTTTATTTACTCTTTCTGCTATTCCTGGCTTTATTCTTTTACTGGCTCTGATGAACCTGGGATAAGGGGCCACCTCAGGAGCCTTGAAGTGAATGTCCTTGGCCTGGCTGGGCAGAGGGTCAAATGTACAAATGATAAATTCTTTGGCTCAGGCTCCACCAGGAGATGCCGTGGCCTACCTGTCTCCTGCCAGCTCATCCAAGCCCCTCCCTCTCTCAAGCAGCTGCTTGGGTAGGCAGGTGCTTCTCCTTGTACCTGAGGAGCAGCATGGCGACACCGTGGCCCGGGAGGCTTTGGCAGCTGGAATTGGAGGGAAGAGTTGCAGACTGTGCTTCAGCATATGCGGCAGTCCTGCAGAGGGTCCTTGCCTGACCATCGGGCCAGTCCCAGTGTGTGCCCGGCTCACAGTAAAGATGAGGGAGCCAGGGTAATGAGAGTTCCAGTGTTGAACCAGGGTAATAAGAGTTTGATTTAAACTACAAATAAGCAAATGCAGACTAAATATATAATTCCCTTTGATTCTAATTCATGGACTGAGCAGTCCATGTCTGAATGAAAAGGGCACTTAGCTCTTTAAAGCCCTAGATTATTTGAGAACTGAGGAGAAGCAATGTAGTTTCCTTTCAGTTTATCTACTTGGCTCCACGTATAAAGCCTGCTTGATTTTGGCCTTTGCTCAGATGAAGTTAGAAAGTGGTAGAAGCAGCAGAGGTACGGGGTATCGAGGAGCCCTGGGGATGGCTGCCTTTGCCATGGGACTCACTGGATTTCCTCAGTCCACTTTCCTCATAAGCCCACCCAGCCGTGCCAAGGCCTAACACCTAAATGCTCCTGGTAGCCTGCTCCTGGGTGTCACGCTCTGCTGCCTTGGCTAGGAGGGAGGGGTGCAGTCTATTTCTGCTCTGCTCCAGACAGGTCAGCTGCTTTGAATAGCCTATCCTAGATCTCTAGGGACATTAATTCTGGGGGAAAGTCAGGGATAGGGAGAAAGATTGATCTTCATTTTTACTCAGTAATAAACCAGGAATGGCTACTCCCACCTCCTGCCACAGCCTAATGCGATGCAGGAGCAACAGGTTTAGTCTTAGGAACTGGGTGAAGGAAGGACTCTGCTTCCACCCTCACGCTTTCCCCTGGTAGGTGGCTTGTTAGAGACTTTGATGACATCATGCCTCTGCCAAGGTAAGACCACACAGGAAACGAGGGTATTCCCTCAGGGGTAAGAGTGATGAGGACAAGAGAAGCCCCTGATTAGCTGCCTGGAAGGTGGAAGGGCTTACATATTTGTGTTCCAACACGAGAAAATGCCCCTGGGTTTCTATGTAAATCACCAAGGAAAGCATGGAAAAAAGCTTCATCCCCCACTGAAGACAGAAATTTAGCTATCCCAGCCCTGCACTTGCTGGAAGCATTATGTTGAGTGATGTCACCTCTTTAAGCTTTAGTTCCCCATCAGAAAACATCAAGATAACAATAGGTTGTTGGGATGATAAAATAAGATCATTTATGTGAAATACTTAGCATATAGTAAATGCTCAGTAATAGCGCTACCATTACAATGGTTATTGCTTACTTGGTGCCTATCATAACTGGAATCAGTGACTAGAATCATCAAAAGTTAGATTTTAAAGATGAGGAAAGTGAGCCCAGAGGTGTTAAGCGACTTGCATGGTGTCACTTGGTTGGTAAATAGCAGAACAAGGCTCCCATCTTCCCATCATTGCCCATTGGGTACACATTGAATGACCTTGAACTGAAATACAACCCAGAGCTCTGAACCTCTAGAAAAATTTCTAATGATTCCATTTTCTTCCCCCAGAAATTAGAAACAAATCTAAGGGAAATATGCCTACCCCACCCTGGAATAGGGTTTGGAGAGTGGGAACTAGACTACAAACACCCCTCCTCAAGCAGAGAACCTGCCCATAGTCCTTGCCCCACAAGAAAAATCATCTTCCTGGTGGTATCAGAGCAAAGATGTCAGCTGTCAGCAGCTGCTGACCTCAGAGAAAAGCTGTTGGAGACCTGGCCTGGCTCCGTCACAGTGAGAGGGTGTGTAAAACACCAGCCCAAAGCCTGGCAAGTAGTAACACTCAGAGCGTGTGCGGACTCTGAACAGGAGCACCAGACCTTCAGACCTCGGCACCTTGAGTCCTTGGTCCACAGTGGTGTCCTGGAGACCTTCCCTGCACCTGCTCCCTGATCTTCCCCGAGCAGTGCCTGCTGCTCAGAGCTCCGCAACATCTGACAGAACTTCGCCCAAGGCCTCCTGGGCCCCTGGGCACACCCTCTGCTGATACAAAGAAATGTCCGTGGGTGAGCAGCTCCCCTTCCTGGGTTAAGGAACCCTTTCTAACCTGTCAAGAGGGCCAGCCAACCTGAATGGGCCACCCTGAGTCCATGAAGTGACATGGACTCCGGCTCCTGCTGCCTGACTAGCTGGTGGCGGCAGGTTTGGGTTTGAATCAGTGTCTAGGCAGGACCACAGGAATGCAGCAAACTCCCACTTATTCATCAGTCAGACTCCTGGGTGAGCCAACCTGCCGGAAGCATTCAGGGAAGTCTCAGAGCCCATGAAACTCACTGCAGCAATGAGGCATGACCAGGAGCCAGCATTCTCTGTCAGGCTCTGTCCCGGGAGCATCAGGTAGATTAACTCATGCAGTGCCCCCAACAACCCTCTAAGCTAGTGCTGTTCACACCTCCACGTTAGAGAGGAGAAAAGTGAGCTTTCCATGAATTCCTACCTCACTTCTGACAGGTGAAAGGGGAGGATCCAGGTTAAATCTAAGCAATGTGAACCCATAACCTCTATTCCTGACCTCCATGTTATACTGTCCCCCAACCAGTTTGGCTGGTTAATCCTATGTCCTGAAGTTATAGTAAAAAAGGAGAGAGATGAAGAGCGGAACTGCCGTGAGGAAGGGCGAGAGAGCAGGCAGCAGTCCTGGTCCATGGCAGGCTCCTGGAACAGCCAGCGGGAGCAGAGTCCCAGGAGGAAGGTGGAGAGCCAGCACCGGAGGCTGCAGCAGGGCAGGGCTGTTCAGCAGGGGTGCTGGCAGCCAGCAAGTCCTAACAGTCCCTCAGAGAGAGCAGCCCCCACTCAGCAGCACTGCAGGCTTGGGGCATTCTGAGACTGGGGGCATTAGCCTGCAGCTGTCAGTTAAGAGTAACTCACATTCAAATTATGTCCCTTGGCACCAAAAAAAGGTTAAAGTGTGCTTGGGAGCTTGCCGCTCATGAAGGTAGGGAAGATGACACTCCATGAAGCTTCCATTTCAAAGGTGGGAATCAGAAATGTTGGTCCTCAGAGGGTCCTTTGGGTGTCCTTCATCTAGGATACTCACATATCCTGACAGGGGTGGGTAGTGTCAGTGGAAAGAATTTACATGTTCATTACCTATTGATCCTCGCAGGCCTGGTATTATAGATATGAATCAGGTTATATTTGTGTTCCCCTTGAGAAGGCTCACCCTCCAGCCTATCAAAATTATACCAGCAGTGACGGTGAGAGTCTCAAAACTGCACTGGACGCTGTAATCAGTTGCAAGTCCCTGGACTCTGGAATCCAGTCACTTTTTGTTTTTAAGTGATTGTGAACAGAGGGCTTCAGACATGTGCCTCCAGTTGACAAGGGGCCCAGTACCGCTAGGTGGGTAGGCATCCAGTTCTTTTCCCCCGGGGAGATGTGCATGTCTCTCTCCCCTAAAAGCAGAGAGCCGGGTGGGTAAGCATGTTACCACCTGAAGGCATAATTGGACCATGGCACAACACCCAGCTCTGGGCGGAAGCAAGAGAAAGGCCAGGGTGAACATGCCTTGTGAGTGGAAGCAGAAGAGATGGCAGCATAGACAGTTGACTCTCATTATTCTGTGATGTCCCCACAAATGCTGAGTGTCAATCCCGAACCATTGGTCTCAGGAGAGATACAGGGTGAGGTTCCTGCTAGTCTCTGATCACACCATTTTAATCAAGTGATCAGTACATAACCGTGCATTTTGTGTGTTTCTCTTTAAATACACTTTATTTAATACACATTGTTGATTCATTAACATTGAACTTATGGCCAACAGCACTGTAACTCATGCCTGAACAAAGCTCATCTAGCATATGTATTTTCTCCAGGAGGCACCTCACAGCCTTCTTGCACTCAGGACACTGGACAGCACTTCAGCACTATGCTTGGGGGCCATTTAAACAGCAGAATCACCAACAAAAAAAGTGGCAATGAGCAGACCATAAAAACTGTGGCAATAAACAGACCATAAAAAGGAGACCTCTGTTCACAGTCTGAGAGCAGAAACAAGAAGGCAACGGGTCACCTTGTCTGACCTCAGCTGGGGCTGTGACTCAGTTTTCTTCCATTTTACAGATGTCTGCAGAAGACCTCACAGGCACACGAGTAATTGACTTGGGGTTACAAATAAAGTTTAGCAAGTAGGCAAATTCGCAAATACAGAATCTGTGAATAATGAGGCTCGACTGTATGGATCATAGAGGGCCTAGAGCACCAGCCGTCGGTATTGAGGATTTTCCACTTGCACATCCCTGTGCTCGCTTTACATTAGTGAGTGCTGGTCCTCTGGCTCTCCACCCCACCCTCATTTTTCATGTTGGCCCTTGCTGGCCAGAGAAGTGCTTCTGCCTACGACAAATCCCACAGCTGTGACTGATTGTCTAGCCGACTTGGTCCCTGGGCCCAGCACAGCCCGACAGGCTGGGGCTTCATGTCTTCATTAGCTCAGTCCCCAGAGCAGGTGCCTGGCTGGCATCCAGGCGAGGAGATAAAAGAGAGCCAGGCACTGCCACCCAGAAAAATCCCTTACTGCATGGGGTCTGGATGGGGAAACCTGGCTTACCTTCCATTCGGCTGCAGTGTGATTGTGTCCCATGACCCCTGGAAGCCAAGGGGAGCCACAGGCTTCCGATCTGACCCTGCCACTTTTCTATCCCCTTCACACCCCCCACACAGCTCAGTTTTCTTTCATCACAGGGATGTTTGATGTTTACTTTGAGTCCCCAGAGGGTACCGATGGTGAGTTTTATTCCACAGGGCAGATGCTGTAATAGGTCTGGGTCAATTGTCCCTACTCCAGTTGGGCCCCAGTCCTATCCTCCCAACCCTAGAAGAAGGATGGGTAGTTGTTTTGGAACTAGAACTTGAACCCTCTGCAAAATATCCCAAAAGAGCCTAAATAAACCCTCAGCTATTTAGTCACCTTACAACTCAAACCCACTCCACGGGAGAGGGATGGAGGTGCAAATGCGTGTGGGCAGAAAGAGAGCCGAGAGAGGGACTTTGAAGTATAGTATTGGAGCTGATTCTCACAGGGAGGGAACTTCTGTATGAAGTGACTGTCTCCAGAGAGCAGGCCTGCGACCCTGGGCAGTGTGACTAGGTACAGAGGTGTGACTGGGCAGGTGGCTGGCATCTTTCCTTGTCCACCTCAATAACAAAAGGACAGCTGGGCAAAGCAGAGCAAGGCCTCCATCGTCACTGCAAGCTGTTAATCTGGCCCCTTTTCCTTGGCATTAAACTCCCTGGGAAGGAAATGAAGGTACCCACCAGTTGGCAGGAAGCCCAATGAAAAACAAGTTCAGTCCAATTAGAATTCAATCAAATTTAGGAAGAAAATTCCATCCAAACCAGAGCACCATTAAGGCAGCAGTTGAAGAGAACTCGTTAGCTTGAGAGCTCCCACATCTCCCAATTAAGAAGTTCCCTAGACCACTTCCAGCCCCAACCCCATTCACCATAAAAATGGTGAGCTCTAACACCCGTGCTCTCCAAAGCAGCACTAGCACAATGCGCATAGCAGCCGGTGGGTGTGGTGAGAGAGCCAGCTAATGTCACCCAGTGGATTCAGGGGCTGAGCCTGTGCCCACTATGGTTTGTTGGTGTGTCCTTCCTTCCAAGGTGCTTCTGTAGAGTGTCTGGCTTGTGCAAGGAATTCTTTCAAGGTGGTTCCTGCAGCCGCCTGCCATGAACTACACCTTTACTGGTGAGAGAAGGAGGAATCATATTTCTAAGAATTAAACAAGATGCCCAATGCAACACACACACACACACACACACACACACACACACACACACACACACCACTGAGGGCCCCAGTCCCCATAGACTGAGTATCAAGCAGAGAAATGCTCCTGTGTACAATTTGAGAAGAAAAGACACAAACTTGCTTGGCAAGTTAAGAACTAGCCTTCTTGATCACAGCCTTCTGCTGCCAGCCCTGCCTTGCTAGGAAAGTGAATTTGAAATCAGAGAGAAATAAGGACAGAATCATAGAAAATAAATAGCCCTTCTGTCAAATTTTTCAACAGACCCTTCTTTTGTCAAACTCCAATTCAATTCCAATTTCTGCTCATTATTACTTTAAACTGAATGCATCATTTAACTTTTATATCATCTTGATTTTATGTATTTTTCCATTATGATTAGATTTCTTTTTTAACATAAAAGGCAGCCCCCAGGACATTTTCTTGTGTTTGGAACCCTCATTGTCTCCATGTGAGAAAGCACTTTCTCTAGATTAGAAATCCTCCCAGGCAGCTAAGAGAGGCAGGAAGAGCCCTATTCATAAGAATAGAGAAGGAGGGGGTTCATTCCCCTGGGTCTCAAATCAGTGGTGCACTGATACATATTTAACAATTGGCTCTTTAGGGGAGAAAGCCCTGGTTTATAACATTTGCCAGTTCCCATGGTGTAAATATTCCCACCATGGCCAATTTCAAGCCACCACAGAGACCTCACTGAAGCCAGAGTTGGGAAGAGCTATGTACAGGTGGCTCTCGGGAGCCACTGTGGTTGAGCAGGCGTCAGCACACCGGGCTCCTACACCTTTAGTCACCCAGAGGCTCTTGAGACTTTTCTCCTGCCGTCCAAAGCTGGGGAAAGGCGAATGCATGTTCCGTACTGTTGTGGAGGTTTTTTTGGTTACTATTCGAAGGAGTTTTCGGGTCATTGGAGAACAGTTGTTATTGAAGGCAGAGCCTGTAATCATGATCCAGGAAAAAGGGAAACGGGTTTTGTCCCTCCCATTCAGTGACTCCTTCTATTTATGTGAGAGCCAAGACATAACCTGGGATGGCTAGAGAAAGCTCTCTGTGGAAGTTGGGACATGTGGGCAGGCTTCCTAGTGCAAAGCCATCCTCACTTTTGTTTCCCCTTGTCTCCATCTCTCCTTCATGCCCCACCCACGCCCTCCTTCCATGCACTCCCTGCCCTGCCCACTCCACTCTCTCTCCAGAGAGTTCTCCAAAGAGAGGGAGAAGGCCAAGGCTCGGGGGGATTTCCAAAAGCTACGAGAGAAGCAACAACTGGAAGAGGACCTGAAAGGCTACCTGGACTGGATCACACAGGCGGAAGACATTGACCCTGAGAACGAGGACGAAGGCATGGATGAGGAGAAACCCCGAAACAGTGAGCAGCATCCTCTGTCTTGGCTGGGTTCTGGGAGAGGGAAGAGATGGTGGGAGCACAGCAGAAACCTTTTACCACCAACCTTTCTTTACAGTTGTCCTCCTGGAACAACATTGGTCTCATTGCTTGCAGTCATTTGCTACTCATAGAAGTTAGTGAAATAATTGTGATTGATCTGTAAAGCCTCATTTTCTTTTAGGATCTTTGATCTTAAAGACAGTTTAGATTTTGCTAAGGTGCACTCTTTATTTTTAAATCAGACATCCTCCTCTGGGCTCCATCTCTTTGGGCAGAGGGCAGGCTCCTGCACAGGCTTGTTACAAAGAATGCTTTCCACCAAGCAGCTCCCTAGAAAGCAGGAACCTCGCCCCCTTTGCAGCAGACTTCCAAGCTCCATTGTGCTTTCTCAGGAAAAGCAGCCAAAGGTTTCTCTTAAGGAGGTTAGATTCAAAGTACTAAATGGGAAGACTGAGGAAGCCTAGAGGCATTTGACAGGTTATAGAAACTGAGCTAAATCCCTTCCGCTGGGGTTGCACGGGGCAGGCTTTCACCAGATTAGCCCAGTGGGTCTCAAAGTGTGGTCCCTGGACCAGCAGCACCCGGGAAGTTACTAGAAATGCAAACTCAGGCTGCACTTCAGATCTGCTGGCTCAGAGATCCCGGGGTGGGGCCCAGCAATTGGTTTGAACAGCCTGCAGATGATGGAGCTGCCGGGTACATTTGAGAACCACTGGGTTAGGTCTGACTATTCTCCCTGTTTCATTGGACCTCCATCTCTCTGATGACCACGCACTTGCCTCCTCTCTCTGGGTGCACTCTTTCCCTTTCATTTTGCATGTTTGAATAGGTGTGTTTCTTCCTCAAGCAGCATAACTTGAAAACATGCTCCTGAACCTTGAGCATCTAGGGTAGTCAGGAACCGAACAGGTTAAAAAGCCAGCAAGATGGTTGCTGTATGGAGACAGGCAGGTAAGGTGGGCAGCCGGAAACATTCCCTGAGTGGAAGGGAGGTGACAGTACCCACGGGGTCTCAGGGGGGCTGATGGAGGGAAGCAGGACGCTGCTATGGATCAGGTGCTTCTCTCCTTAAGGAGCCAGGAAGGCGCAGGACTGCCGGGCCAGCTGCCCTGAGAAAAGCACGGTCTTCCCATCAGCTGTGAAATCCCTGTGTGTGCAGGCATGCGTGTACATATATATCCTAGCACATACATGTAAATACAGTGAGTCTGGTTTCTCGGCCTTATAGTAGGCATGAGTTATGTCCATGTGTTCAAACTCCCGACAGATTTCTGTGAGTTTCTGCTCATTAGCATCTGAGTCCTGATGGGGGATCTAGAGGAGGATCGAGTGGAGGAAGTGGGAAAGGAGCCAGCAAAGGTTTAGCTGCAGAGACCGCTAGAACCCTCCACCAATGCTCCCTTTCTGATCGCTGCTTAAGGGGAAACACAAAATTAAAACACACAAACAACAGGGACTGGTAATGACATAATTTAATAACGTAAGGAGGGAGGTTGGAAGACAAGGCTTTCAATGGATTATAACAGTGAGCAATGGTGCCACTGGGTCTTTCTGGGAAAATGCTTGGCAGGTTCTATTATACTGTTGCTGGAACTGTGGCGTAGTTAGTTTGTGGCACGGAGTGGTACGGCAGATAAGCACCACAGAGAAGCTTACCTCTGAAACACAGAAACTGGCATCTTGGCCCCTCTCCATCCTAAGTCAGGGCAGAGGCCCAGTGTCATGATTAATGCTGATGAGCAAGTTTCTTAGCATATTATTAAAAATGAGTGGCATCCACTACTTGCTTAGCAGTCAGTTGTGGTCCACAGACACACATAGTTACTCTATTCTCTGCCTAAAGCAAGAGCTCTCTAGATGTGTGCTGCTTCCCTGTCCTGACCATTAAATGAATAAATTCCAAGGCATTCCTAGCATGGAGAATTCTTTGCCGCTGGACCAGATCACGTGGACAAGGCCTGTCCCCCCACATTTCTGGCCAGGCTTTGGGATGAGCGTGATGAACTGCCTAATCCAGTGGACAGAACCTCTGCCAAGATTTTCAGAAGTCCGAATATGGATGAAATCAGACTCTGGAGACTGTTGTCCCTCCCACCATGTACTCCTTCCTGATGGCTGGAGGAGCCTTTGCTGTCTGCTTCTGGTCCTCAGCCAGCCTTGTCCTGGGAGAACACAGTGGGAGCCTGCCACCTTCAATTGTTGAAATGGTGCTAGAACAGTCCTACTGGGGTGGGGCAAGGAAATGAGTCTATAAAAAAGCAAGATGAAGAGTAAAATAGACCCATGCAATGAAATGGATATGAGAGATGTAGTAATGGAGCCAGGAAACCAGTCCAAAGGACTGTGTCTATTGGGGAAGTCCAATAAAAGCAGTGATTAAATTATTAGGGAATTGGCAACCTAATAGATTTTCAGAAAAGGCAAGCGTATGGCTCAGGAACTATATTCTTGTCTTCAAAACTTCAGTTTGCCCTTTGAAACAAACACAAGGGGAGAAATGCTGCTATAATTTATATGTATGTTTCAATTAAAGTAGTATCTTAGCCTTTGAAATTGCTAAAAATTTATAATATAGTAAGCTCTGCCAGTTCTTTTCAGCTCAAAAACAAAGTAGTCTTTTAAGAAAAAAGGCATCATCACTATTCATCAACGGCTCTGGCAACTTCTGTTCTTCCCTGGGCAGAAGGCGGGTCAGCACCTGCCAGATGCTGCTGGAGTAGGACATGGTGACAGAGAGGTGGCACCAGGGCAGGACAGTTAGCATACCTGCAGGAGCCCAATCATGCACTTCTCCTAGGAAAAGCTACAAACACCATGGAGGAAATAGGAAGAGCAGTAGTAGAGAAGACAGAGAGCAAGGGCACAGTTAGGAGGTACTTCTAAGTAATTAGAGTAATAATGTAGCTGGTAAATTACATCCAAAAACATGTTCCAGTTTATGCTTCCACCCATCCATCCTCTCATTAAAGTCTGCTCCATGCCAGACACTGTTTCGGGTGCAGGGGGTATAGCAATGAGCAAAGCAGTAAAAAATTCCTGCCCTCATGGAACTTACCTCCTAGTGGGGAGATATACCAATTAAATGGTATGTCAGAGAGTGATAAGTGCCATGGAGAAGGTGAAATACGAGGAGGAGACAGAAGTGCTGAGAGGTTGTAATTTAGGTGAGGTTCTCAGAAGTACCTCACTGAGAAGGTGGCATTTGAATGAAGACTTGAAGGCAGTAAGGAAATAAATAGATATTTGGGGAAAGAGCATTCTGGGCAGAGGGAGCAGCCTGTGGAAAGGCCTCAAGGGAGAAGCAGAGCTGATGTATTTGAGGAGCAGAGAGGAGGCTAATGTGACTGGAGAGCAGTGAGTAAGGGGGAGAGAGGTAGGTGATGAAGTCCAAGGTAACCAGGACGTGGACCATGAGACTCACTGTAAGAACTTGGGCTTTTCCGAGGAGTGAGCTAGGAAGCCACTGAGAGTTTTTAGCTGAGAAGTGCTATGACTTGACCCACGTTTACCAGGAACTCCCTGGATGCAATCAGCAGAATGGAATGGAGGTGGGCAAGGGCGAAGCAGGGAGCCGGGGGAGGGGTTGGGGCTCCTGCCTCAAGAGACCATGACACCTTGTCCTGGTATCAGTGAGGTGATACAGTGAGGCTCCATGTTGTCCTGGTAACAATGAGGTGATACAGTGAGGCTCCATGTTGTCCTGGTAACAATGAGGTGATACAGTGAGGCTCCATGTTGTCCTGGTAACAATGAGGTGATACAGTGAGGCTCCACATTGTCCTGGTAACAATGAGGTGATACAGTGAGGCTCCATGTTGCCCTGGTAACAATGAGGTGATACAGAAAGCCTCCAGAATGACATCATTTGCTGGCGTATCAGATATAAGATGTGTGTATGAGAGAGAGAGAAAAAAAAACAGGAGTTTTCCAGGTGATTGTCTAAACAGCAGAAAGTGTGGCATCCTCATGTACTGATCCAGGGGAGCTACGAGAGGAATAGGTGTCAGGGCAGGAATATTAGGAAAAGTCTCACACCCAGACGTTTGAAATGCCTATTTGACATCCAAATGCAGATGGTGTGTAGGCAGTTGGGAATTCATCTGAGGTCTGGGGAGAGGTCTGGGACAAATTATATTTTGAGAAGTCAACAACATATAGAAGGCATTTAAACCTATTTGCCTGGATGAGATCACTTGCGGAGTAGTGTAGAGAGAAATGGGAGAGGCCAGCACTGCCCTGGCCTTTCCCACCTCTACCGGTGTGTGGAGGCTGGGGTATGAGGAAGAGCCAGCAGAGGAGATAGAAGGGCATGGCAGAGAGGAGGTAGGATAGGCCAGGGCAGTGCTGCTGAGAGGCGAGTATGGTGGGCGCTGGGAACTCATTACTGGGCTTAGCAGTGTGGGGTCACTGGTGCCTTGACAAGAGCTGCTCGGTGCCACGGTGCCGCCCAAAGCTTGAGGGCAAACAGAGTCCTGTTTCATGAGTGTCTTGAGTCTGGAGACTTTCCAGGATGGCATCACGCTGCAGACCCCCTGTTTTGGGTGCAGCCTAGCTGCCAGTCATCTGAGGGTTTCCAGACAGAAAAGGAGAAGCACATGGCCCAGCCTACCTGGACCCTAAGAGGTCAGCGTTCAGCCCTTCATCAGGCCCAATATGCAGCTGGTTACAGACAGCCTTGGAGAAAAGGACAAGATGATACTCAAGAGCCATTTTAGGGCCCAAAAAGACAGAAAAGAGGCAAAAAGGGGCATGTTTGTACCCTGTTGCCTTTTGTGCCACTTCCAGAGTGGGCGGCCTCATGGGTCTTGGCTCCACACCCCTCTGCTCGACAGGATAATGTAGAGGTCTTTCCCCTCCCTCTGTGCAGCAATGAGCATCCCTTTTAAAGGCACCAACTACAAAACTGTCGCTGCTGCACAGGTCATTGACATCAGCAGAGAAGCACTGTTGCAAGGCACATGGTCCATTTCCTGGCTCGAATG